ATCGAATTTTAAATTGTGTTGCTAGATAAATAAATTACAGAATTTATTTATTTTTTTATGTTCATTAAATTTAAAGCGGAGAGGAGCACCGAGTGGACTGACCGGGGAAACATCTAGTTAATCTGCCTGGTGACATTAATCGTATTGTCAAGTGCCAAAAAATAATTGATTAATGTTTTTCTGACGATTAATTGCAGACAATATGATTATGCCCAACCCTACTGTGACATGCCTGTCCTTCAAATACAAAAAGGCAAAGAAAATATCTTCATATTTAGGAAAATTGGCATAAAACACGCTTTAACCCATTTTGTCACATAAGTGGCACATTTTCCTTTGAATTTGGCTCTGCTAAAAGGAAACAGGAACCGACATCAAATGGGGAACTCTTTAATAAAGACAACTCCCTGGTCTTTATTTATTAAAACAATATTATTCGAACTATGACTCTTCTTCATCTCTCTCTTATAGAGACTAAAATTATCTAAAGAAACATCACAAAATTCCCTGCTGTCTGTGTTACAGTTGTAGCAATGCTCTGTTTACATGCAGACATTCCCCTTTTACATCACTTCCTGTTGATTCACATGCAAATATCTCAACAACTGTTCATCTTAGTGCTGTGAAATATCTTTTGAAATACGTTTTCTTTCCAAAARTGTAATCAYATTTATCACAAAAATTTGATGTCATAGGCACTTTAAGTTTTGTATATTAATGGAACTTTCATTAAACCAGATAATCCCAGCTGTCAGTTTCATGCAGCGCCTCTGGGTGTTGTGCTTTTTTAAACGGGCCCACGGGCTGTCAACATCCCCGCAGACAGACCCACCGCTACAGAAGCCCGCAGGTGCTCCTTCAACTCCACAACAAACATCAACAACCTCGCTCCTGTCCGCTGTTCTAACTAAACACAGAACAACCACGAACGTCCCATCGAAAAACACGAATCAGTGAGTGAATGAGGCTATTTTTAGCTAGCTCCCTGTCGGTGTATTTCTGTTAACTAGCGGTAACAGAGGCGCTTACCAGCACAGCYCTCTCCACCTGACTGGCAGCGGACATCTTCGGCAGCTCAGACAGAGACCTCTGTGTGTTCAACATTTTTAATCCTGTCAACAAAGACAAAACCTGGATTGACGATTTAACAATAAAATCCTTTTCGTCTAATGAAGAGCGACTAGTACGTACTAGCTTAGCGGACAACGTGTTGCATTTAAAAGTATCGGAAATTCTAAACATCCGCTCACTGGATTTGTAGTATTTAGGCTTTTAATAGTTGATGCGTGTAATTCTTACTCTGGTAATCTTGATTATCAATTTTAAGTTATCTGCAAAATGAATATGCTCACGTTTAGGGGAGTGTTAAGGTTTAACTAGTTTTGACTTGTCGTTGTAGCCTGGAAGAAGACTCGTGCCCTTTTCTTTATACTCCGCGCTCTATGACTGATGTCACGTTTGTTAAGATACTATCTATTAATAAATATTTGAGAAAACATCACTTCAAAGATGACCAGACTGTCAATTTAACTGAGTTTCAACAAGAAACAAAATAATATTGAATTTAACCTAATTTACTTGAACGTACCATTAGGATGGTCACAAGCTAGTAATTAAAATAGTCCCGCCCAAGAAACCATATATGAGCATACAGTTTCCGCAAACAAATAAAAACCCTTCTACCAAAGATCTGATGATAAGACATTGTCAGAGTTAATGAGTGCAGACTTTTTAATGAATGTTTCTCTGTAGTATATTTAAAATTTCATTGAAAATGTTGTTGTTTTATATAAAAGTAGACCTGTACTTTTTTTACTGTTAATGTTGTGCGTGAGTGAGCCCGATAAGTATGGCAAGCCATTTTAGCATAAAATCAGATTCACGACACTTCCATTCCAGATATCTGAAATTGAATTATGACTAGCCGTATTTGTTATTTAAGATATCTCTCTGAAATCTAACAATGAAAAAACAAACTGAAAATCACAGGTACCTCGCCCTTTTTCCAGCCTTTTGTTTTGCTGCATTTTTATCTTTACAGTCTGCTTAAGTCAAATCCATATTATTTGTGCTGTTTTTATTTAATAATTGTTTTAACACAGTGGCAGCGGCGCATTTAACAGACTGCACCTACTGGACTATTAGGTGTGAAAACAACATAGATCAATGTGTGCAGGGACACTGCTGCTCCAGCAGGTTCTAGTTCCTGGCAGGCTTGAGCCTCAGTGGGTTCTGAACATCTAAAGCAGTTTCATCTGAGAAGGACAGATGAGTGTTGGTCAGTAACTGAGAGCAGTCAAACTAATCCTTTTGGTGCCAGCAAAGAGAAATTACCAGCTGCACTTAATCATAGTCACTAAATAAATTAATATACTTTGATGTTGTAGAATCTTCAGCAGCACTTATTGACAGCTGCAGGTGAATGTTTGGGTCATCGTCCAGCCATCAGACATTCCTCTGTTACTAATGTAATAAAATTTAACTTATTGTCATATCAGACCTTTTCTCACCACACAGGCTGCTAAAATTTATATGCATGCAATGATCTTTTCTCATATTTCTTATTGTCTTACAACTTGGTCCCATACAACAACAAACATGTTAAATCCAACCCATCAAACCCATCAAGTCTCTTTTCAAAAAGACAATTAAAGTTCTTGACAGACAACCTTATGTTCGTTACTGTAAAATCATTGATAGATACAAGATTTTGGACTTTGAAAATTATTAAAGATTCAGTGATTTAAGTCTTGTTTTTAGGGTCTTAAATGGACATGCTCCTCCAACTTTAAACACTTTTATCCACACATATACATCCAGAATGAATGCTAGGTCCTCAAACTAGAGGGGACTATGTTGACGCAAAAAGGAGAATGGAGATTGGAAAGGTCATGTCAATTAGAGGAACTAGAACTACTGGCAAATATCAGAGACTGTGACAGTTATTCCATTTTTAAAAGAGAAACTCAAAGTTTGGCTGAAAGTAAATCAATCAGGCATTCATCTAACACAATTTAATTATGTACTTTGTAGACTGAGGAGTTTGTGTTTGTTGGGCAGTGTTGAATTTTGTCTGTTTTGTGCACTCGTTTTATGAATGGTTACCTTTTTATCTGCTCAGGGCTACAAATGAAATTTAGCTGTTGTAATAATTCTGGTGCATTTATATCCACAGAATATTGATTAATGTGTACTGTCGTTTTAACTAAATAAACAAATGATCAGAGCGCTGGCTCTGTTTCCTTCCCACAGAATCCACTGGTGTGTCCACAGTGTCCCAGGGACAGAGGCTGCCCTTCCCAGCGTTCCCCCTGAGCCTCTCCCTGCCCCCCCTGGCCTCCTCCTCGGGCCCCGTCCAAGCCGCCGCCCCTCCCGCGGCGTACAACTCGGACTCGGCGGAGTCTTTGGAGGAGATCCCGGTGGTGCTGGCCAAGCTGGGCTCCTGGTCCTCGGCTGCCACCAGAGACCCCGGCACGTTGCCCCGCAGGCCCGTCCTGGCCTTCCCCCAGCCCTCCCCCCTCCCCAGGACTAAGAGGAAGGCCCTGGCCTCACGAGCAGACCTGAGCTTTGAGATGGCGCCCGCTCGCCCTCCCTCGGTGTTCGTCAGCCGGACCAGCGGGGACGTGGCCGACCCCCCCTGGGAGAACGGCTTCAGTCTGGGGAGGACGCAGTCTGGGTTCAGACAAGGACTCGGGCCCAGACCCGTGTCTCGGACGTCTCTGGGCTCAGGGACAGGCTCCTGGATGGAGCAGTGAGACACCTGCCAGCTCCTCTTTCTGTCATCAGACTTTTATTTTGAAGGGTTTCTATCTTATTTATTTCCTTTTTTTACTTGAAAGCCAAAGTGACTTCCTGTGTGTGTTTGTGTCATCGCCGCCTCCTCCTCTTGCTCCTCCTCCTCCGCCTCCTCCTCCTCCTCCTCCTCCT